TTCATAGACGTACACCACGGGTTGTGCTTTCGGATCGGACATCCATCGCTGCACATCCGGATCTGACTTGTTCATAACTACGTTGATTGCATCCGCTGTGCACGACACTTCTTCCACTGCAAATATCCAATCAGTTTAGATGCAGAAGAAGGCCAGTAACACTTCGAGCAAAGTGTGACAGGTATAGGAATCCTACGCACCCTTTGTAGTTTGCGAGCGCTAAATAGTCAAATCGAAAAAGGGAGAAAGAGGAAAAAGAGTGATTTAGTAAAAAATAATGAGACATGAAAAGGAATATGTCTAACTCAGATTTCGCCTACTGACTGAAAGGGAGAAAAAAGAAATCCACTGACACTACACTCAGGGAACTAACTCAGTAAAAATCCTGGAGAAAATTCCAGAAAATTGAAAGGTGCATAGTATCGACGTTACCTCCCACCGGCTTTACGAAATTGAATTTGATGGATTACGCGTTCTGGGATGTGTAATCTGCCAAGTTAGCTTTTTGAACGCTCCAAACGTGTACAATAAAAGAAGCGAGCACTACGGTAGTCAGTGCGATCATTCATTTGTGCAATTTTGCCCGGCAATCATTCGTTTTTAGAACGTTCACTGCTTTATGTTTTGATATATGCAAAAAATGTCGGAAGGTTATTTTGTTCCTGCGCTACAAAATTCTTCATCCAAATTTCATCCGTAAGGCCTAAGCGAGTGAGAAGGATAAATTTAGATTGCGGAGTGACATTTAGGCAAGAAGGAAGCTCCTAAACTTTCAGTCTTAAGAACTTGTCTGGGTTGTGGTTTGAAAAATTTCGCCAAAACAAAGTGTCCGTACGTTAAACGCAGGCGCACGTGGAAACCGAATCTGATTTTTCAAAGTCGCATATAAGTAAGAAAAAGTTCTAAGATTTCAGTTTTTTTTTTACTTTTTCCATCAAAAATGTAGCAAATTTTCTGCTAAAACTTTCGAACATCCTGTGTGAGGCATAAGAATGGTGAAAATAGGTTTTAAAATTTGCGTGATCGCAGATGAACAGAGAAAATCTTTATAATTTTGGCTTTCTAGCTTTTCTGGGTTGAAGTTGAAAACTCTCCAAACAAAAATCTTAACACGCTCATGCACACACACACCAAGGTCCAGGGAATATTCATTTTGCACTGCTACTGTAGCATAAAGCGCAATGATACGGTTTTTGTGAAAGTCTGATTGACAGGTGGTATTATCAAACTGCTGTGGTAGAGCGGGTAGCGAATTAACCATGTGCGAGAGCAATTTATGAACTGAACGGACACGAAATAGACAAAACTGAGTCAGTGAAATGTCATATTTACTTTAGAAAAGTGAGCTTAAAAGCTCTGCTTTTGTAAAGTATTTCGCTTACCAAAACCTTCGGCAGTTATGGATGTTGCAAACATTAACACTGTCACCAGTGACGCCTCTATCATCGACATCATCACTGTCTTCATCATTAACATCATTATTATCACTGTATCACCAGTTAAACCTGCAGATTAAACGTTTAAAGCGGAGGTTTAGGCTTACTAGAAATAGATTTTTCGTCGCTAGAATCATCTAAGCAATGAGATCGCGGTAGTGATAAATGCATATTCGTTATGGCCCAAATGACATTCTGTCTCCAGAGCATTGTACTGAAATCTGTCTCCTTTTTATGCGTTTTTGCCGTGCAGCGCTAGAGCGCTGCAACAGGCAGCAAAAACGCATATT